GGAAACATTAGTGTACCATCAAACTAGCATTGCTAGACCAGTGTATATGGGCGCCGTTTCGAAGTACTTGTCCTTGATTCGCAGTGTAACCCCCATGTTCAAGTTTGGAAAGCAATAGTTCCATTGTCAAGTTCACAAATTAACCATTGTGATGCTGGACTCGAGCGTTAATACATTCAATGCGAAAAGTGTCCTTCAATATGTGCTCAACGATGTCTACCAATGAACCGTCATCTTTGTTGAATTCTTTCAAGAAAACATTATGTGGAGAGTACACCATCCCGTAAGTGGCGTGTTGTTTGTTTTTTTGGACTAACGAAAGTAGTTTGCGTAAACTTGGCGTGAGGGTTCGGAACGTTCGCAGATTTTCTTTAGTTTGTGAAAATGAAAATGACAATACAATTAAAACACTATTCAGTTTTTGGAAGGATTCGATCCCCATATTTGTTGGATTTATTTACAATTTATGGGTATATGTTTTTGTTTTTTTTGACAATCATGAATGCAAGGGGTATGGCGAGGATGGTTAGGAGGGGTATATATTGCATGTATTGTAGTGTAGTGTTGGGGATAGTGCATCGTTATTCAGATTCGAGGGTCGTCTCCCACGGTTCTGTGGGTTTCACACGGTTGGTGAGATTTCAACTCGCACTTAGTGTGTGTGTGAGAGAAATAAAGCACTCGAAGAATTAATTACCGGGGTCACGTGACCCTCTCCTCCCGTCGGTTGCATTTGAGACAAGTCACGGAAACGTTCAATTCATAATTTATTCTCACCGTCTTCTGCTCTAAGGGGCGGGAAAATTGCGTTTGGTTTACCTCTGAATAGATCTATTTACGGTTGATGTATTTTCCCATCGGGGTCCCAGGCCGTTGAGCGTTTTACCGTGTCTCCGTTGAAGGCTCCCCATTATTGGAACTTTGCCTGGCTCACAAAGGGGGTCACGTCCATTGTTGTAAGTTAGGGGTGGGCGGACTGACAAGACATTTTCACGCTTGGAGAATTAAGCCTACAGGAACGTCGCTATTGTCTCGTGGGACCTCGGCGTAATACGATGAAATGAACACGACTGGTTGTTAAAAAGACTGAAAATCGTGCCCGATGGCCGTGCCACATTAACACTGCAGTAATAGTTAAAGTCATTGTATAGTGTTCATCGACGACGGCCGCATCAGTGAGAGCCCACTAAGTAGTCTAACTATAGTTTACTTATTCGGTTGGCCACCAGTTATAAAGTACGCATTAAATAGACGTTTTGAGACGTATTGTTTCAGTTTCCAAAGCAGGCCTGTGATTTTGAGTCAATATGGACATGTACTGTATTGTACTGAAAAGCGTAACAATTACATTTTCACTGAAATAACATAAAATCGACAAGCTTGAATAAACGTCACTGACGTCATCCCACAACTATGTTTTTTTTTTTTTTTTACTTGTACGCGTACTTTTTATCATCGTAAAGATGCCATCAAGATGAGGAAATCTGAAACCGTCGTCAAAATCAAAAGACGCATTTTTTAAACGTTATTTTTAAACACTATAAGATGAATATTGTTTGATTTGCCTAAACCAACCGAAAATCGACCTTCCGTGCGACAACCATCTTCACAAGCCAAGGACCATTTATACGCCGAAGCCTCAACTACAGATCAGCAGCGAATCTTCAGTTGCGTCGAAGCATATATACAACAAGGAAGAGTTTGATACGTCAAAACAAATAAAAATAAAAATAAACAACCTGCTCTCCGATTGGTCTGACTGCTAGGTATTAGGTTTGGGTAGCCAATCAGGCACAACCTTTCGCACTGAATCTAACTTCTACATATATCAAGCGCGTATTGACTCCTCTCAAGCTTGGTACTTGTTAAAATACAAGCTTTGACTAGTAGATTTTTAAAATGGTCCATCCAAGATCGAAATTATGCAAACGACCTCCCACAGATGTAATACTGTGATGATATGCCCCGCACATACTCATGGGTGAACCGCACATACAAGTTCGTATTATCTTACTTGTTTTAGTGAATTTCAACATCATGCGAATGTTGTCACGGTGGTCTCCTCTATACGGCTTTGTGACTGAACTCATACGAATACGGGGCGGGCTTAAACTCTAAGGGTTCAACTCTTAAGAAATATTTACACACCCCTCAGAGTTATTGGTCAGCTTCAAGAGTTCATGGCCCATCCCACAGAGTTATTGGTCCGGCTCTAATAGTTAGTGTTTACCTTTAAGAGGTAATGGTTCGCCCCAAGTGAGTTAATGGTCTGCCCTAAGTGATATAGTTTGGCACCTAATTTAAGAGTTATTGGTCCGTCCCTAACATATATTGTCTACCCTTAAGAGTCGATGGTCTGCCCTACGTGACATAGGTCCGCTGCTGTATTTAATGTTTTTGGATATCACTTCACTTGACATTGGTTTTACGGAATACCGTATAGCAAATTATCGCAAATTATAAGTTGGAGAAATAAATAAAACGTTTCTAAATCCATGAACGTATGTAATACCAGCCTAGTAGCACGGACAATTGACCACGTTTGTTTTGAGACGAGAGAGGTATGCCAATCGAGGTCATGGTCACGGCGAAATATGGTGATTTGCATTGATGGAACCATGAGAACACACTAATAAGAAGGAAACATTAGACGTGATCGTGCCCTCTGGACGTGCACAAACATGTTAAAGTGACATTTTCATCGAATGCCACAGATAATTTCAAAGTACTACTAATAATAAAAGTATGCATGATATTTGTCATGATAATTGGGAAATAGACAACAAAGCACTGCCCATATTATTAAATGATAACGTATAGCAAAGACAGAGAAGTGCGCAATAATGGATGAACACGCAGTCGTGTTCTGTATTTAGGCGTACATCCTCGCCCAAGTCCTGTTAACAAGTAATAATAGATGGTGCGTAGTAATTTATTCATTACTCCCCAAAACATCGAAAAATCGAATCTATCAAAATATATAACGACATATATTCCGTTTGACGGCCACTTTAGAGGTGCATCAATCGTCTTGGGTGAGTGCCTTGGCATATCAGTGTACAGCCGGTAAGATACCGTTCTACTGTCATTTCAAATCGATGTTTTGAAAATACTATGTAATCGTAACCTCCATTGGTAATCTGAAACCACTGTTTAAAAATTAAAAATTGTCATACAAAACAAAACAGAACAAAGCTGCTGTCTTGTATTTACAAATTGTTATCTGCCACGTGACACGATATGTTTTGGAACGTTGGACGGTTCATTTCGGGTGCATAACCCACAAGATCTACCCATACCCCACAGAGAGCACTATCCCATGCATACGGTCACCACAATTTAAGATTTTTTTTTACACAAAATGTGCCAGACTTTCATCCATTTGGTGCAAAACTGTCTTTGATCACGAAGTCCGACACTGAACTTTGGCGTCGGAGTCGAACGATAGAGGACGCAATTGACCCAAGATACGCACATGTATAAAAACGAGCAATCCACCGGGAGGACCACGATCCTTGTGTATAAACGTAGGAGACGTGTAAATAACACGTAAATCGTCACATTCCGGAAAGAACCACACTGCCAATTACACTTTGCTTTGCGGGAATGTGTCTGTCTCTGTTGGCATCGAAGCTACATGACACGGTGCTATGAAATGAATACCGGAATCCTATACAACTTTTAGTGGGCGGGGTCGGAGAGCTAGGCGCTGGCTATTGACGTGGTAATGCCACAGTTGTTCCTAAGCATAGTACGTGGACTTTGTTCAACGTCCGAATATAACATACGTATAAATAGAATGAGTATAGCAACTAGTATTGTGTTTTCGACCCGAACGTCGAAACCCCGGTAAACAAAAAAGTCGGTCCCCGCCGGGGGTCCCCGTGGTATTAGTTTTGCTGTTTCGGAGTTATATAGAACGATTGTTTGTCTTTCTTTAGTTTACCTTAGAACAAATCAATCTCTGGTCGATTCCCCCACCATTTACTAAATTGAAGAATGCGTGATAGAAAGCGTGCTCGTTGACTTATTCACATTTCAAAGAATAAAACACACACTGATGTTTCTTTCATATTTTACGCAAAGGTCGGTGCACTGTGACGTCACAGTCTTTTCAACATCGCCAAATTATTTGCGACGTGTCTTATCTAGGTAATTTGAAGGCTCTGTGTGTCCTCTGTTAATATTGCGCGACTGAATCAATGTCTCTTACGTATGTTTCGCACCATACAATCAGACGACTAAATAACTTTAGGCAGATAAGTGGAAGTTTCTAAAACGCGATTGAAACGAGGCCATTGAACAACTGACTATTAGAGCAGCGTCCATCTTATGTGCGGTGATTCCCGATATATATGTTGTTATTTATTAATACACCCCAACCCGATATCAGCCTCGACGGTACCTATGTACGGATCTAATACATTCCACGATACCCGCCACTTGACACATATATCCAGTGCAGTAGGTCCGTGCGTGAGTACACACGGACGATATGCTTTTAAAAGTCAGTTCCGGGGTTGGGCTCAATCTCCCATTTTTCATCTCCGCCGATAACCCACTAATTGTCTGTCAATTGCACAGGTCGACATAACTAATGATAAAAGGGGAGGGAGAGACAGCAACTTTTTGATAAAACAGACAACTGCATGAGAGTATTTACGCAGGTATCCTAGATAACTGGTCTAAGTTCCATTTGACAGACAGTGGGCGGTGCTACGCCGACTACCCCTGCACTGCGTCAATCACACAACGTCCACACGAGGTTAGTTGAGAAGAGCCGCGGTCGACGTTCCCACGCTCTCGACACCATGAATCAACAAACCTTAATTAATAATCATTTGATGACGTTGGCCAATGAAAACAGCTCTTTCAGTACTACTTGGGCGATCCAACCAATCCCAGGGGAGTTTGGAACACATGTAAACAATAGCCATTGGACCTTGGTCCGAAACTGGCGCGATTCAAAATCTCGCCTCCTTGTGTTATGTTAAATCTATGGACGATGAATATTTGAGCACACCTCTTTTGCCTTTTGTAACGAGGCGAGGGAACCGAATGTTGTGTCAAAATTGTGAATGCCAGCGCAGAGTTGCATAGCATAACGTGGGCGAGGCTGCGTAGTTTGAAGTTCACGCTGTCGTTCTCGTATTGCTGTTTGTTCCAGTCATTACAGCGTGAAATTTCATCGTTCCATCTACACAGGCGGTCGTAAAAGCCAGGTTGACGGTGTTGGGTAGGAAGAGAACAGATTACGGAGTCCGTGGACACTAACAACACCTACAAGAAACTCTGCGCAACAATGACGGCACAAATACAATCCCCTCACCAAAAGGTATTCCATGAAGCAGTCAAAAATGGCGATACTACCGAACTTGCTCGTGTGCTTGAGACGGCCAGGCAGGACGTCAACGTTAACATGTTTGACTGCGAGGGACAAACTGCGCTACACCAGTCTGTCATTGATGGCAACTTCGAGCTAGTCAAATTACTCGTTCAGTTCGGAGCTGATGTAAAATTGGCCAACCGCGACGGTTGGAACGCTTTGCACATCGCGGCGTATGGTGGACACGAGGATATCGCCCTATACTTAATAACAAATGTCAATAGCTGTAAAAGATAGGCAGGAGGACCGTCAATGTGGACCCGACCAAGAACTACACGACTCTAATTCAGTGCGAGGGAAGTAACACCCTGTATTTTTTTACATTGAAATCGCATCTTGTGTATATATATAACTAAACGTGTTGTAAATATCAGTCACCATTTAACTAAACTCTACAATAGTTAACACCTTTCCCGATTTCAACATTTTACCTCAGAAGGATTCCGTTTGAGTGTGGATTCGTATGCCACTATGGGTAGGCAGAGCTATTTCACCGAGCAGTTTTCAAGTTCGAGCCAGCTCCCCCGGCGTGTGATTTGCCCTCATTGACCTTCGCTATGCCTATTTCTGAGGTCACATAGTTGCAATGGCAGTAATGCATACGTAGTGCCGGGGCCATGTTTGTTCACTTTGGAACGCTGTACAAAGCGTGTATTCCATGGTGATGAGTTCACCGTGTTAACAAGAATTACTACCAATTAACACTTGGCGCATCTTTTAGCTGTATTTACTAGTAGCAGAATGGATTCTCGGCACGCTGGCAATGTACGCCACTATGATGTGTATCCCAGCTGTCAACATGGACGTGTTGTTATGCTACGTTTTCAGAAACTGGCTCGTCTTCAGTTTACTGTTTCGCGTTAGTTCAGCAACGGAAAAGCTCTTAGCGGCCATACGTGCACAGATTGCAACTTTCCAAGAAAATAACTGTTTCTTCCTTTAAATATTGGTTTGTCCAAGGACGATGTACAGGATCATTATTTATGGTTTAAATGTCTTCTTGTACGCCTCATTATACAAGGCGAACACAACTTCTCTGGTGCTAGAAACCATAGACCTGAGGTCTATATAGAAACTTATAAAAAAAACATTCAAAACATTTTCGGATCATGGGCATGTTCAGTGTCCTCGATGTTGTTGCAACCGACTACACGAAGGCAACTCTAGTTTACAAAAAAAAAAAAACGGTTATCTAGTTGGTACATAGTTGTTGAGTGGATTGATTAACAAGAACAGATCGTTGTCCGCATCTGATTATAAGTTGCATTTAAAATATATAGTTTATTGGTCTGTGTCCGCTTATTGGAGGGAACAAATTGTACGAAAAATGTATTTTTGAAAGTTGGTTTTCCTTATTACATTTTTTTTGAAGAAAAAGACATGTACTATATGTATATTACGGTAAAGATTTGCATAATATATATATTTCACAGTTAATTACAATATATATACATAAAACGTTCGAATTTGTAGAGACTTGTTTACGAATTTTATAGATTGTAATTGATATATTTTTGATAAGTCACGCACGTGGTGAATAGGGACTTGTACTCACTACGTTGACAATACACTGTGACCATGGTGATAATTACGTCACTAATTTGTGATATTTCTCAAGTTGTTTATATTTTTAGAAGGTGCAGTTTTGGCCAGTAATGTCGAAGGTATATTGATTAGAGTGCTGAATACGCAGACAGGTTGAGAAAAACATGTATTCGTCTTTGCCCTTTTTAAGTAGAGTATTGTGAAACTGGGGCAAAGTTTGGCATGAGTTGGCTTTCTCTGTGCAAGCCCTTGTCGACCAGAGCATACGTTGTAATGTGAGCTCTGGACAAAAGGTCCCAGTCTCTCCCATTCAACGGCCTTATCGGACTCGAGCTTCAAGTCGTTTTCTCTATTCAAACTTATGTCAGCACACCGCAGTGATTCATGTCGCTGTTTCAAATGGCTTTGCGACAAAATAAAATAAAACGTGCCTCTCTTCAAAGCTTGGGTAAAATTGAAGTTTGCAGGGACGTTTTTGACACAGACTGGTGATTGTTGCTGGTAATGTCGTTCTGTATAAATTGATTCCAAATATAAATCAGTTCTTTTCAGTATTGCTCTTTGGAACCTTGTTTTCGAAACATGTTACTTTTTTTTCATTTTCGATGCTTCGTTCTGAAAGCACGTCTTGCCATGGTTGTGGTGGTGTTACATCCAAAAGACCAATCATAACATAACTGTGATGAAGGATACGCACCTTAGCACCATGGCAACGCCAAGTGCAGTGAACGCCACATTCTCGTTTATTCTACAAAAAAGCACCAGCTGTGTGTCGATGTGTCGCCGCTGTTTGAAACCTGGTTTGAATTCCGAAACTAGAAATGGAAGCTACTTACAAAACTGTACCTGATTGGCTACCCAACTCAACACCAAACTCTGTCAGACCAACCAGAGAGTAGCTTGTTTGTTTGTTTGTTGAAAGTTTTTTTCGACATATCAAATTATTTATGTCTTGTATTTATGCCTCGACTCAACTGGAAATCTATTTATAGTGCTGCCTCTCTACCACTGCAATTAAGACGCAGTTCGATTAAAAAACTTTGATGGGGATAGGATTACACGTGTTCAAGATGGTACTCTTCTTTATTACATGAATAACTTTTTCACTGTCACTGAGCTTTTCTCTTAGTTACTTTATCAAATTTACCAATGTTTGTTTTTTACAGTATTGGATAATTTTATGATAAACGAACGATGGTTGTATATATTTTTTACTTGTTCCCTAATTGTCAGTTAAAAAAAATTGTCGTATATAAAACATAACTCGTGTCTAAGTCATTTGTGGTTCCAGGGTTCCTGTCATCAGAGTGAAGGGGGTGGGGTATAAGCGTTGCAGAAAGAAGGTGGTTGCTTTTGTTAGTGTGGTAACAAAGGCACGTGTTGTACCACTAATGGAGAATGCACCCCCGTTAGCACCAGTACAGTGTACTGACCCGTTGAATCCGACAAAGCCGTACAACACGCTTGCAGTGTGACAGACAATACTGATCCAGCCAGCATACGGGCTTTTGGCACAGTTCCGTCTTAGTTGCTCTTGAAAAGGTTCGAGACGCCGTGCACGGATAATAAAATAAGAAGGCGATAACTTCCGCGAAGGACCTGTTTAGCGCCACGGGTGACCAAAAACCAAAACATATTGTCCCATTTTTACATTGAACAGTTTTTGATTGTGCGCGTGTTGTTTACATGTGCACAAGTACGAGGTGGTCTTGATGAGTGCACAAGCTTTGCAAATGTGACTATTAAACCGCATACTGTTTTCCCGATAGGACAGGGTGCCCCCTGTGGAACTAGCGTGTCCATGACCCCACGGCTGCATGCACGCAGACACTGTTAAATATAGCGGGTTGGAACATTATAGTCGGATGATTGAAAATTGCAAACAGACGCGTGATTTTTTTGCGTGAGAAAATCTTAGCTCAGCAGCTACTTGGATCCTAAATGGTTGTTTGTACATTTACCAATTTAGATTATACCCCTCCATATTTGTAGATTTCCAATTTAAATTATACCCCTCCATATTTGTAGATTTCCAATATAAATTATACCCCTCCATATTTGTAGTAGATTTCCAATTTAAATTATACCCCTCCATATTTGTAGATTTCCAATTTAAATTATACCCCTCCATATTTGTAGATTTCCAATTCAAATTATACTCATCCATATTTGTAGATTTCCAATTCAAATTATACCCCTCCATATTTGTAGATTTCCAATTTAAATTATACCCCTCCATATTTGTAGATTTCCAATTCAAATTATACTCATCCATATTTGTAGATTTCCAATTTAAATTATACTCCTCCATATTTGTAGATTTCCAATTTAAATTATACCCCTCCATATTTGTAGATTTCCAATTTAAATTATACTCCTCCATATTTGTAGATTTCCAATTTAAATTATACTCCTCCATATTTGTAGATTTCCAATTCAAATTATACCCCTCCATATTTGTAGATTTCCAATTTAAATTATACTCCTCCATATTTGTAGATTTCCAATATAAATTATACCCCTCCATATTTGTAGATTTCCAATTCAAATTATACCCCTCCATATTTGTAGATTTCCAATTTAAATTATACCCCTCCATATTTGTAGATTTCCAATTTAAATTATACTCCTCCATATTTGTAGATTTCCAATATAAATTATACCCCTCCATATTTGTAGATTTCCAATATAAATTATACCCCTCCATATTTGTAGTAGATTTCCAATTTAAATTATACCCCTCCATATTTGTAAATTTCCAATTTAAATTATACCCCGCCATGATATTTTTGTATTTAACAATTCAACTGCTCATGTACATAAAAAGTTCAATGACCGCTGATTAATTTCCTCGCCATGACCCAACATACCGCTTTGCTGTCGCCGTGCTGTATGGGTCCCGCCTGTGATCAGTAATAAACATCCCACTTTGGAACTGAAATGGCAGATGAACACTGTAGCGTACTAAATGAGTGTCCGTTCCGTGACTGTTCACACCTCGAAAATAAATACGTAATAACAAATCACCGTGGTAATCGATTTACCCCCAATTTCTCTCCCCAGAATTAAATTTATTGGGAGGATATTGAATTTCTTGTGTCCCGCCACTGCTCCAGTCGCGACTTGTCACTTCATGTTTTTCTTTGTGTATTTTACGATCCGATCTCGTCGGGTGCAGATGTCATGTGACTCGAGAGTTGGTGGTGAACGTCTTCCATTTGTTTTCAACACCAGGGGTGCATGCGATTTCACGATTATGTTTACAGTTAGCTTGACGTTATTAATGAATTGAGGCTCTGGGCAAAACACATAATCACTACACGGATTCACACAAACATGAATGAGAAATCACGCGAAAATAGAAACCGTGTTATCGTTACATAGTTTTCAAATAAAGGTCTATGCACTAGTTAAAAATGACAAATTTTTGGAAGACGTTTGAATTTGTTCACTCCGTGTTTATTCTCCGTGGCCCGGGCCACCTGTTAATCATTTTTAATTGCGACAAGCAAGACTCGGAGCGTGTTTTTTTATCATGGTCGTGGCTGGTTAAACATACCCCGGGTATGGGCACAACAACATAGAATTATACGTGACATTCATGAAACTCACCTTCCACATAGGACGCGCCCTCCAGCGGCGACTCATTTCATGACGTCAAAATGACATATATGCAGATACATGTTAACACAGTGTCGTGGTGCAAAACGACAACTGTTTGGTTATGTCATTCTTTAGAATATTGTAAATCATTTTTGTATTGACGACCGACCACCGATAACAACTTGACTACGAATAGACTCATTGCACTCATTACGTCATGGAAGCAATTCGTCGATTGAGGGCGTGTATCACCTTGTCAATGAGGTACAGAATCAAGTTGACATCATATATTCATATCGCTTCATTCATCTCGGTATATTATTGAAATGATACGAGTTTTTTCAGACTTGTAATAACTAACTTTAAATTGACGAATGAATCATTTAAACAAAAACTTTACAGTAGTAATTTACTGTACAATCATAAACAAAGCTGACAATATGACAACTTGAAGATGAAGAATAAGAAATGGTATTAATACATGTAATACATTATACATTAATTATAAATACATTGTTATCATATTACGCTGTCATTTTTGATTTATAAATCACCGGGCCACATTGGAGGTCACTGAGATTTCAAAAACAGACACATGTGCGATGTAATCAACATGCACCGTTTTTCATTTTTTGATTACACCGAAATTATATGTTCGATCACAGTCCCCATTTCGGAGCTGAGCGGAGTTTCCAGGAAAATATGAATTGATGGGACAATTAACAGTATACCATATTCAAACACGACTAGTAAAACGACATAAAACTGTTACGTGTTAGGAAAGTATACTGACTATAACTGATAGGACAAAGAAAAGCAGTGAACCTGGAACTATAGACTGGATAAGATCATAATATTTACGGGGTTGGTCAGGTAAAAACTAGCGGACAGTTCAGTAGTATGCATATTGTGAAATTCGCCATACTTTTTCTCACAGGCTCTGAAACATCTCATTTTCTCTGTCCGTTTTTTTTACCTGATTCTAACTAGCATGTAAAATAATAGTCCAGCCCAAGGTAATTCAAAGTGCTGTCTTT